TATATATTTGTCCCCATCACTTCTGTGTCCTCTGAATACCCATGGAGACATTCTCATTCTGTCTTACTGCATGTTGATAAAATCCATGGGCCTTTTCAGAAACAGCGTCACCTCCAGCTCCTCTCGCTCGCTGAAGAACTGAGCTCTGCCCTCTTGGCTGTGGACAGCATCTGGGAGATGGAGGCCCAGTTTGCTGGAGAGAGAATGAGAGAGGATGGAAAAAAGACATGCAGGTTAAAGAGGAGGAGAGAGTGCGTCTGTAGTGTCTGAGAGAGAGAGATGTTCAGAGACGTGCAAAGCAGCAATCAAAGCTCTGATCGGGATGTGAAGCTCTGATTAAAAGGAAATGTCTGGAAATTGGTGCGTTTGGTCTGAGCTGCTGCTGCCTCGTCTCTGGGGGATTAAAAATTAAAGAGAATATTTTCAAAGCGTCCCTTACTGCTTTGGTGTCCGCAGATCAAGGAACTTCTCTTTTACATCCAGGACCACATCTGCTGCTTTAGTGTCTGGCAGTTTGATTTTCACCTACGAGGAGGAAAAAGTCAGCCTCTTTAATATTTCACACAGCGCAGACTAATACTGAAGGAGTATGACATTTTTACTAGGGATTAATATCCAAGCAATGTCACTTTCTCCCAATTCTCTTAATCTATTCTAGTACAAGGTCTGAGTAAAAAACAGTTATGGATGAAAACTATAGGGACACGTTTTTATTCTTTACTTAATCTGATTTTGATTACCCCTTCTCTATTTACCTACTTCAGGCTGTTAAAGTTGTTTTTTGTCTCCCTAACATTTTCAAACTGCTCATAACTTTTATTTCCCATAGTTACGGTTGAAAGTGAATTGTTAAAATGAATTCACTGAATCCTGCTCATATTCCTGCTGTTGATGTTTTTGTTCATTTCATCGTCAAACAAGTACATTTCGTAGTTTATGCAAAAATATCAGAGTTTTGTTTGGTCTGAAGTACCAGCATGGCTTCACAGCACATGGACGATGGATCCTTTCTACTCAAGCCCAAGAAGAGATCCTCTGTCCCCACGCTCTGCTTCAGGATTATTTCATACCTGGAGACCAAAGATAGAAGAAATCACTCAATCACTTCAGAACCCACGTCATTAGAATCCCTCGAGATCTGAGCAGATAAGGTCTTACTCTGGCTGTGGCCGCAGGTCAGTCAGATCATCGAACTGGGAGCCGTCAGCGACCTCCTCCTCGCTCCAGATATCTTTACTGTTCCTCTTCACAGACGCAGTGGTCACTGAATAAGCACAAACATGCATGAACACATGTAACATGAGTCTGTGTCAACAATTTAATATTAGATTCATTACCTTCTGTATCTTTCTTGGACGGGTGACCGATGTGTCCAGGGCCCAGCCGTGCGAGGGCTGTCACCTTCTGTGGAGAAGAACAGATGTTGTCGTCAACTAACAACTGTGAGCAAGTTCAACTTCCTCTTCCTCCTCTGAACTTACTTTGCTCTCCTCCTCCTCCTCCTCCTCTTCCTCCTGCTGAGTGGATAACAGAGCAGACAGAGCCTGTAGACTCTGAGCGGAGGTAACAAAACCCTCCATTCACAAAACTGACTTATTACCAGAGATAATAATAAAAAGACGTAGAAACGCGTCACGAGTGAAAACACTGCACGCTGCTGTTGACGCTCTCCGTTTCCATGGAGACGAACAGGCTGGCGGGTTGTCACGGGAACCAGTGACGTCACAGACGAAAAGGAAATGCCTGCCGAAGAATGTGCACGTGTTGAAATAAAATAAAATAAAAACACAAAGCGGACTAACGTGGACTATTCTTCGTTAAACAACGACAGATGGTATTTTAGAGGATGAATAATTATGTCTGAGATAAAGGCAGTGAAGTGGAAAACAAAAATAAATGAATAATTTAGAACGTAAATAATTAAAAAAAATAAATAAGATTGCTAAAACTCATACACTTCCACATGAATAATGTGACTAAATAGAATTTTTAGAGCTAAATATCCGTGATAATCCTTAATAATTATGTCTTAATTAAGTTCTTTGAAATGGATTGTAATTGGGCCTTAAAGTAAGAATTAGTAAAACAACGAGCCCAGGCTGAATGGACGATTGATATATTATTAATATTATTATTTATTATTATTAATATTCCGCAGGTAAAATGAAAACCTTTGTGTGACGTGCTCTCAGCTGAAAGGCGGACTGGCGATTGGCGTCTCTCCTCGGACACCGTAGTGCACGCATGGCCCTCCGGGTTCATGTTGAAGGTGACAGGTGACGGTGTCATGCCGGGGACTCTCACTCTGTTACCGGTCACCGTCTGTGCCGCCGCCGGCGACGGAGACAAAGAGGCGGCGAGCTCCGTGTTGAACCGGGACGAACTGTCTCTGTACTCGGCTCCTCCGCAGAGACCCGCGTATGAGGAGCCTGAAGCGGGTCAGCTGGAGCGGAGTGTGGCCTCCCTCAGGAAGCAGCTGGAGCCGCAGTCCGCCTGGTGCCAGGCCACGTACGACAGAATCAAACCCGCGGTTCACGGCGTGCTCCAGTGTGGACACGACACTTACGCCTACTTGAAGAACCCTCCGAAGGACTTCTACCCCCGGGCGGGAGTCATCGGGATCACCGGTGTCCTGGGGCTGCTGCTCGCCAGACGCTCCAGGATTAAGAGGCTCCTGTACCCGGCCGGCCTGGTGACCGTGAGCGCCTCCCTCTACTACCCGGAGCGAGCGGCCGCCATCGCGAAGTCCGCCGGGGACTCGGTGTATGACCGAGCCGTGCAGGGGTACGCGGCCGTGGAGAAGATGCTGAACCCGCAGAACAAAGCTGAAAAGGCCGCAGACTCAGAAACGAAACCCCGATGAGCGCAGGAAGATCCAGCAGCTTCTCAGCACTAAGAAGCCCGACAGCAGCTCCTCAGACCGGCTCTAAACTGTGTGACTCTAGCCCACTCTTTGCACTAAGCTCCACACGGATCTCAGGCCCGTCACAGGGGGTTTGCAATACAATGATAAACTTCTGCCCCTGATTTGAATGTATATTTATGTAGAGAACAAATAAAGTCAACCAGTCCTACAATAAAATGTTGCTGGACTTAATTCTGTCAAAAGTTACATCGATTAAGATTAATGTCAATCAACTATATCTGCACTAATTCTGAAATTACTTGATTTTAAAAATATATTTTGTCAATCATTCAACATTTCTTGCTTAACTGAAGACACGTCATGGTTCCAGCTTGTTAACACTGAACACTTGCAGCTGAATTAAACAGAGTATATTTGAACTAAGCAAAAGAATCAGTCTATTTGTCAACACCTCTTGCTTTTTATGTTTTACAGTGCAAATTATTTATCAACACAGCAAACTACAGGCTGACCGACCACAGAGACGACAGTACGAGGAGTTAGCTGTGGTAGATATGAGCTGTCTCACATATGGCTCAGTAACATTCATTTAACAAGCCAGATTAAATTAGCAATATATCCCTTCCTGTAAAGTTCATTAGCCATTTGTGGAGACCAAACTGTGTTATTTGTAATTAAATTATTATTAAAGAAAATACCTGGAATGCAAAGGGAATTAGAACGTTATGACTGTTTAACATCTTTATTCTTCATCTCAGTCAAAAAGAAAAAAAAAAAGTGTACAAAATTAAATAATGAAATCCCCTCAGAGCAGCACCAGCTTCTCGTTCAGGGCAATCTGTGCTTGGGTCAGATTTGACAGGTAGGTCACCATCAACAGGTCCTACAAAGACAAAACAGAGCATTGACATTTTGTTATTATGAAGTAAAATGGGTAAGAGAGTAAAATCTCCCAACAGCATTGCAAGGAAATAAAAGTCAAAGAAGTGTTCTTACGACAGCTTTAAAAACAACTGCTCCTGCTATTCTAATAAATTTGATGGGTAAAGTGGTTTGAGAACCCGAGCGCCAGGAGAGCACTGACAACCAATCTGCTTCCTGATTAAATACTTCCTGCAATCAGTGGGAGTGTGCCACTGTACAAAGAACAAGCCTGAGTGCAGCAATGAAAGAGGAACTGGAGGCTGAAGGAGAATCACTAAACCCAATGAGGAAATACAACCGCACATTTCTGGCTGATGAAAAGAACTTACGTTGATGTTGGAGTTGAGCATGTTCTCAAAGTCCTCAGCTGGGATGGTGGGAACCTTGTTGACCAGGTCCATCAGGAAACGGCCGACACTGTTATCTGCCGTCACCTTGCCAGACTGAGAAAGATCGAACAACATTAAAAGCCTCAGTTAGTGTTAAACTCGAGCTCTTCACACAGATCTCTACAGAGACTATGATTACTAAATAATTAAACAGCAGGAGTACAACCAGGAAAACCAACAGCAGCGTGCAATGTCTCATCTTTGGGGGTGTTCGTGTGCTATCTTACTGACACTACAGTAACTTTAATGCTCACCAGCACATCCTCGATGTACGCAAGCATGGTGGTTAGCATGTCCTGCACCCGTGCGGCAGATCCAGCGACCTGGGACAGATCGGAGGTCAGCCCCTTGGTGCGAGTGGGAGTCACACGAGTCCTCTGGAGAAGGTCCACTGCAACAGAGAAGGACTGTTAAGACTTGAGAGCTACTGAGAGCAAAGAAAAAGCAAACACATTTAACCTCATGACACATTGGACAAGTAATCATCTCCAGATATTTGACCAGGAAGGAATTTGTTTTCAAACTGTGATTCTAATTGATGCTGTGTATTCTTACCGCCTATCCTCTCAGTGTCGTATTGGTTATACTTGACAGAAAGGGGGGTGAACATCACACCAACTGTCTTTCCTGGCACACCCATCTGCGCGCTGTACGTGGAAGAAAGACAGTCAGACTCACCATCAGTGGTAAATGTAGTTGGTCATGCAAACAAAGAGCCACTGACAGGAAGCTCAGCCCACCTGACATAAGCGCGGATGTTCATCTTGCCGCTCTGCAGTGCGGTGTCCACGGTCAGGTGAATGGGGTTGGTGGCCTCACGGCTGTAATATTCGTGGATGAGCACTGAGTGTTCTGTGATGTCAAAGCCTGTGGCGTACCTGAGGAAAGATGTCTCTGTTAGAAAAAGGTTTTTTTTCCCCTTAACATCGTCTTTCAAATTCCAAATATGAGTTAGTGACGCACCAGCCGATGATGACCTCAGAGGGTGAAACCCTCTTGTGGAGCTCGTACATGTTCTTGGCGAACTCCATGTCCACAGCCACCTGTTGTCAAAGAGGATTCCATTACTGGCAAACATGTCATCTCGATATGAGGCAGCTTGTTAGGTCTGAACATGTAACAAGCTCAACAACATTCATTGTCCTAACAACTCATCTGGATAAAATTTTAACAATATTGTCTGTTCTTCTTTACTTCATATATTATAGCTACAACTTCTTTAAAAAGTAAAATAAGAAAATGTTTGGAAAGAGACCCCGGGTAATTATACAGTTATTGTGGAATCAATACAAAATGTCAACGACTCAGGATCATCCATGACACTTTGATTTGTCCGGTGATAAAATCCACTGTCTAACAAGTCATACAGCACTGTGTGTAAAGTCGCTTTTAGATGTTCATATATTCTAGAATATAATCAAAGAGGGGTCTGTTTAGTCCCAGATTCATTTAGGAGCCAGGTGATCTATAAATAATGTGTGGGGTTGTTCACTTTTTATTTTTAGTGCCTCTAACATTTGCTGGGATCTGTGTTTACCTCTGTAACAATGCAAGACATTTACTGTTCAGACCATGTGCAGAATACTATCAGAGGCCTCCAGTGTAAATACAGGGTCAGAAAAGCTTTAATGAATGATTCATGTTGTTAAGAGTTATGGATGAGTTATGTTGTTGGAGTTATGAATGAGTTATGATGAGTGGGTTGACTGAACAACGCACCTCGTCCTCGGACTCATTGTGGGGAACAGAGAAGCAGTTGGTCACTTCGATCGAGTGTTTGTCAACAGAACCTGAGGAGCAGAGGAAACACACATGAGCACGACTGCGGTTTTTATTTAGTCACCTTGGCTCTGTTAGCTTCCTAGCTAGGCAACATACTAACATCACGACGAACCATCACTAACGGTTAACAACAGCGACGATAACAACGTTCAGTCCTGGTTTCTAAATGTTTTAACAGCACGTGACTGATATAAACACACTTAATAAACTCAGCTAGTTTGAATTTAACCATGTGAGGAGAGAACACACACACATCCAGCTGTTAGCGGGTGGTGCTGCTGCTAGCTGTTTGGTTAGCTGTGAGCGGCTAACGCGAAGGCCAGCGTGCGTTAGCAGACGAGCTAAACATGCTAGCGGCGCATCACCTGCCCTGACCGCGGCAGGTCGATCCACCGGGGGGGGTAGAAGTTTAAACTCTCCGCTTACCCAGCAGGGTCCCGATCACACGGCTCGCTCCCTCATTTCTCCGCTCGTAAGAGTCGCAGATAGAAGCGAGGACGACGGGGTGAATTTTCACCACTGGCCCGTACACCGACATCTTGGAAAAGGAGGAAGACACACCGGCTTCAGCGATCACATATACCACCCCTAGTGGCCGGAGGGCGATTTTCTTTTTCTTTTTAAAGGTCCAGTGAGTAAATCAGAAATGTAATATAAAATAATCCTCGTGGTGTTTTCACTAACTTCACTAATCATCTTAATTGTATGAATCGTTGTCTTTACCCTAGAATCTGTCCTTTATATTTAAATATAAATATCTCCAGATAAAATACAACACAACATAGATTAAAATACACACAAAAGCCCCAAAAAGAGAAAAAACATACACATATAAATGTCTAACTTAAACTCATAACTATGACGTATGATGATGTACATTCAATGAAAATCACTTAACAACAAAACCAATAATTGAGGCTCATATCATATTTTCACACACTTTGAGCACAGATTAAATAATTATCAGTCATCTTGTTGTGAGTGCATCACAGGGCCCATTTCCTCTTGCTTGACCTGTGTGCAGCTGCAGGAGGAAGAGGAGGAAGAGGAGGGTCCCCTCTGTGGTGGAGCTGAGGGGAGTGTGAGAGGAGGCAGGGCCGGTAGGGGCTGTTAGGGGCTGGGCTGATGACAGCAGCATCCTCCGCCGCTCGGTGGCTTCACACCTGACCGATGATGATGGAGCTCTCCGCGCCGCCGCCGGCTCTTCCTCTTGCCGCCACCATTTCGCACGTCCAGCGCCCGGCACATGATCCTCAAACGCCGCGGTCCTTCTGCGCTTGAACCGTCGTGATGCTCCATCTCGCACCGGAGCGGGTTTTTATTCACAGCGCCTGAGAGCCGAGTGGTCGGATCGAGGTGGTCTTTGTTTTTTTTTCCCGGAGAAGAAGCAGGGAGCTGGAGTGGACTGACGCTGCGTCGCTGCTGGTAAACACAAGACATGGGTGTCATCGAACCAAGGCTGCACACCCCGGGTCGTTCATGGACCAGATTCTCGTTTTCCTCATGATACAACATCTGCTTTTATGCGTCTACAAGTCGCATCAGTGCGCAGGTAAGATTTGCTTCTTTCTCAGCTGCCTGACATTAATCCACACTCCTGGAGCTTATTGGCTGCTGCTCCTGATGGAGGCTATTTGTGATCCATCCATCTGTGCGTCATCTTGATTGTCCCTATCAGTCTCCCCTTCCACTTGTCCAAATGGACGCACATCATCCCGGGCTGCAAAGCTCCAGGACTCCATTTTACTGTGCAAACATTTCACACAGCCTGTCTCACTGCCCACATACAGCACATATTTAACCCAGCTTCTCAGACTTGTGTGGGACTTATGTAAGAAACCTCAGCAGGCCTGTAGTATAAATCCACTACACTCAGTACAGCAGTTAGAGCACTTACACAACACACACACACACACACACACATGCATGGACCACACACACCTGCCCCAAGGCCTCTAATGAAACCATGCCAAACAGTGAACGTGACTGTAATGTGCACACAGTGCTGCAGGGTTAGGCTTTCGCTCAAAGATAAATCACAGATATATAAATAGATACACAACTACGTAAGATTAAATTCTGATTTTCTCTTTCATGACGTACTCAGTTTCTAACGGGGGTGAAACAGGCAGAGACAGGAAGTCAAATCTGCAAGGCAAGCAACCTCCAGGCTTGAATGTGACCCTTTGGCTAATAAAGGATGTCTACACGTTTTAAAATATCTTTGTCATCATATTTTGTTGTCGCTGTTTCAAAGAGCAGTAAAAGAACAATGACATCCATCTTTTTCTCCAAAATCATGAAGTGTGAACTTAAATATGAACATACAGCAAAAAGAGAACCATAGAAAACACGGTGAACTACTCCCTTGGTTACTGAATTAGATGCAGGTGTATTTTGTGTTACTCTTCAAAACGTGTGCGTCAGAGAAGTTTGGTGACGTCAAAACAGCTGATCCATTTCATGAATGTGTTCTGTCCTTGTGTTCTTCTCTATTCCAGGCTTCGTTCAAACAAACAAATGGTTCAATCAATAGCCACTGGACTGAGACTGCCGTAGGGAGGATACGAAAAACCCACTGATACACTTGACACACACACACACACACACACACACGGGCCATGGCGCTGGAGAACTCTGTCTTCCCCTCCCGCCCAGAATCCCTCTCGCTACCCGTGGAGGAGAAGGGGGAAGGGGAAGAGGTGGAGGTGGCCACGGAGGCCACCGCCTCCACGGAAGTCTTCAACCTATCGGAGGAGCTGGGCCACGTCGTCACCACAGAGACTGCGGCATCCCCTCCGCCCTCAGTAAAGGTCAACAGGTCGTTCCAGGCCAAGCTGGCCGAGCGGGAGGCGAAAGCCAATGAGCCCAGGAAGAAGACGCAGGGGGCGGAGAAGGAGAGGGGACGATTCGGGTGGGGTGAGTGACTTCCTGGTCCTGGACGATGAACAGTGAACCTATTAAATGGCAATGAATGTTCCGCATGCATCATTATTGGTATCTCCTCTCTAGAGACCAGGAGCTATTGATGGACTCTGGAGTGTAGATTGACATTTCTTGAAATCGTTTCTCTTCCCCGTCTCACTTGCAACAGAGGTGAATCTCCTTTGACTTGAACCAGGGTGCAGTGTTTCACTCTTTCACCAGCCTTGCACATCCTTTTTTTTTTATCATTTGGCTTCTCCAGTTTCTCTCCTCTTTTTCAAACCTCTTTCTAAAGGGGCGAACAAATCAAGCATAAACAAAAAGACAAAGAGAAATGTAGGATTTTCCCTCAAACACGAAAGGCATCATAATTCAGCTCCAGATGTTTCCTCTGCTCTGCAACAATCCACAACATCTTTGGAAACATTAAGTTTTAGTGTCCATGTCTCAAAGAGCAGTAAAAGAACAGTGACTGATGTGAGACAATGATTTTTTGAGATTTCAGTTTGAATCAAAATAGCAAGATATATTTCATGGAAACGACAAACAGGGACATTTATGGCTGAACCAGCTGCTTCGTCAACGTAAGAGACAAAACACCAGAATGTTTTTGTTTATTTTCTGGGTGCAGCCACAAAATCAAAGATTCCTCTAAGAAAATATATCATCACGAATTTCCCTCAGGGTTGAACAATAACTAAAGTCCAGTGTTGTAGATTTTCTCCGAGTGTTTGAGGATGTCCTGTCGCACTTCATCTGCTCTCTTTTCCTCACCTGTCTCTTTTCATTTCTTCTGTCCCTTCTTCTTCTTCTCCCTCTGAGCCACTCTGCGTCTCTCTTAAGTAGTTTTGTCCCCTGGCACCTCCCTGTGTTTATCCTCTCATCTCTCTGTGTGCCTTCATTCAACTCGCATCCTCTGACTGCCGTTGGAGTTGCAGCTTCAAAGAGTAAAACTTTGCAGAAGTGTAGTTGTGCGGCCTTGTGTGTGTTTTTGAACTTTTCGTCGGGGGGTTTTCAAAGGATTCTCTGAAACCTCGGGTTATGAAACTGAGACCGATGAAGATTTGTCTTCGACCGTGGTTTGAGAATAAAAGTACCAAAGCTCGTGCTGCAGGTGTTTCCCACAAGAGCAGCACATCATCATAAGCCTCCGCCTTACATGTTTCTGTATTTCTAACTCAATCTTATCCCTCCTTCATTTCATCCCCCACCCCCCCGTCATCTTACCAGCTCGGACTCGGCGCAAGAGGCAGCGTTACGTGGAGAAAAATGGTCGATGCAACGTGCAGCACGGTAACATGCGGGAGACTTACCGCTACCTGACGGACATCTTCACCACGCTGGTGGACCTCAACTGGCGCTGCTCACTCTTCGTCTTCGTCATGGCCTATGCCGTCACATGGCTCTTCTTCGGGGCCATCTGGTACCTCATAGCCTACTGCAGGTAAGATTCTTCTTTTAACGTAGCACGTTTTTTTAATGCAAAGATCCTAATGAAGAAAAATTATGTGTACTAATACCTCTTTTCCACTTAGCGGGTATAAACGATATTCCCCTTGCTAGTGGAGGAGTTTTCCTTCTTACCTTAGTTTCGCAACTCAGACGGGAGATGATGCTGTTCACGAGCACTGCGAGACATTTCTGCAACAAAGGCTAAAAAAACGCCCCATTCGTTAGTCGGACAGGCAGATGACAAAGCAGTATTAATATTACGGTGTATTTTATAACGATGTGCTACCTCTTCACTTGATGATGTGTCCGCTGGATCCACACTCTAATTAGCTAACATATTTGTCTCGTAAAATCCTGACCTTTTCATATCAATTACAAGCCACCTAAAGTGGTGCCAGAGAGCTGACGCTGTTGCCGCATTTCCTTGGTCACCAACACAGGTCAATAAAAGTTATAGATTATATAAAATACTTAACACCACTTTCATTAATTAGCCCTCCCTGCCTGGATGGAGCAGTGTTAAACTGGAACATTAGTTCTGCAGGCTCTAAGTGGAACAGGACTTAACAACCAGCAGATAAAGTCGAGATATTGCATGTGATGATATATAATGGAAAATGTAGAGTTATACTGCACCGAGAAGAAGTGACAGCTTAAAAGTAATGTTAACCATCATGCTGAAATGTGATGAATCGGATTACATCTTGTTCATTACAAGAATTAGCTGAGAGGAAACGATAAATATAAACGGAGAGATGAGTCATCATACACACAGTAAACTTCTCCACCTTCATTCTAAAAATATAAATCTTCTCACTCTTTCTATCTCACTTAACACCCACTTTGTCGCCCTCCCTCCTTCCCCTTTCTCTCACATTCTCCTTTTCTTCCCAAGGGGTGATCTGGACCATCTGGAGGATGAGACGTGGACACCGTGCGTCAACAATGTCAACGGCTTCATCTCGGCCTTCCTCTTCTCCATCGAGACAGAGACCACCATTGGCTACGGCCACCGGGTCATCACTGACCAGTGCCCGGTGGGCACCATGCTGCTGCTGCTGCAAGCCATACTGGGATCAATGGTCAACGCCTTCATGGTGAGCGCTGGGGTTGGTAGAAAACTGAGGGATGATCCCGGAAACCATAAATAGAAATGTTTAGTTTAGCCTGTATTCAGTATTCACAGTGAACATGTTCCAGCTGTTTTTCATACTTTAGGATTATTCAGTTGTTTATCTAATGTTTTAATCATGAATTCTGAAAAACAAGAGATGTCATTCATTTTTCATAAATCCTCTGCTGGTGTGAGAATCTCTAGAGTTTTCAGCAGAGCCTCGGTTTCATTTTGCCCCGCCCCCCTCCTGTCCAGGTGGGCTGCATGTTTGTGAAGATCTCGCAGCCAAACAAACGAGCCGAGACGCTGGTGTTCTCCAAGCACGCCGTCATCTCTCTGAGGGACGACAAGCTCTGTCTGATGTTCAGAGTTGGCGACCTGCGCAGCTCCCACATAGTCGGAGCCAACATGAGGGCCAAGCTCATCAAGTCCAAACAGACTCAGGAAGGTGAGAATGCCCAATACTGCACATATATGGCTGTTCTTTGATGAACGCCACCTAGTGTTTCAAACCATCTTGGGTCTTGAAGGGCCAATGTTTCAGCACCAGCTGCCTGTGTCCACGGGCCAAATGTTTGGGGACAAACGTGGCCTTGGCTGTCAGGAAATTCTATAGGAGAGAATTTGTCTTTTATCTAAATCTAATGATGACACGACTATGGTGACGAGCAACTACCACTGCAACTTGATTTGGTTGTTGTTTTAATCTGTCCAAAAACATTTTGATGTCTTTTCCCTTTCCTCACCTCCAATTTCACTGTGACCTTCAGGTGAGTTCATCCCTCTGGACCAGACAGACATCAGCGTGGGCTTCGAGACAGGCGATGACCGCCTCTTCCTCGTCTCTCCGCTGGTGATCTCACATGAGATCGACACACATTCGCCTTTCTGGGACATGTCTCAGGCCCAGCTGGAGAAGGAGGACTTTGAGATTGTGGTCATCCTGGAGGGGATGGTGGAGGCCACAGGTGAGGAATGGGTTTGACACAAACCATTTAAAACTCTTGCAACTAAAACTCCCTCTGAAGTGAATGAACATGGTTACTCACTGATGAAAATAAATGTTGAGCTCACCATGATTACATTTTACAGGCTACAAAAATAATACCATAAAAGATATTTTTATTATGTGAGGGATTTATCTATTTTTTTGGATTCAATATCATGTAAAATAATATAAATATAACAGCTTAAGCATTCTATTGTATGAGAAGTAATACCCTGCAATTTAATTTAACTATGAAGTTACAATGGCCTCTTTATTTCTGAATGCATGTTTTACTGCAACATGTAGAAATGAGCATTAGGGAATTAATCCTGCAGATGCATGTATCTTCACAGATTGAAGTAGAACCATCACAGTTTTTTAGTAAGTGCAGTCATTTAAAACTGTCCATTAGAAAATGAAATTCCTTTTAGGATGTTTAAAGCTGCAGTTTTGTGTTTTAGAGCGTCTCTTCTGCGTTAGAGCATTAGGATGTTTTCATCAAGGCATAAAAATAAACATAAAATAAGGAAGATTCAGGAATTTCTTTTCATTAGGGTTTCAACATTTTTCTTGGTTTCTCAGAGAATTATGTGTGGCTTTATTTATTCTATTTATTATTATTAGACAACATCTTTGTATAGTAGACAAAGGTTATTTACAGATGCAATGGGAAGTTCACAATTCTCTAAAAATGTGAGAAAGCGTCTCCAAACCTCATGAAATTTTGTGGATTTCGTCTTCTCCTACCCTCCCTCTCATATTTCCTTGTGCCGAATTTATTCTGAGAGGATAATTCACTCACCTGCTCCTCAGTGTTTGGCAAGAAGTCAGTTAATCAGAGCTCATCATGATGCGTCTCCATGAGGTAAAGGTGGCCTCTTCGCCTACTCCGAATATTGATTCCTTCAGTGCTGCGGAGAGTTACAAAGAAAAAGCTGACAGCCGTAACTCTGCTGCAGAGAATATTCATTTAAAGACAGCTTGTCAATGAAATTGTGACTAAAAACATCAAACAGACATCAAAGTTAATACAGACAATCTCACGTATTTCTAGAGAATTTTTGAGGATTACTTTGGGAACCCTTGTGTGTGCAGGGATGACGTGCCAGGCGAGGAGCTCCTATCTGGCGGAGGAGGTGTTGTGGGGTCACAGGTTCAGCCCGATGATGTCTCTGGCTGAGGGTTTCTTTGATGTCGACTACGGAGCTTTTCATCACACGTTTGAGGTAAAGTCTAAACCAATATTTAATATATAACAATAAAGTATATTCAGACTTATTTGAATCTTCTTTAGTATTTCTACCTTATAAAGCAAGGGTTGAGTTTGTGTATGTAGAGTTTAATTGTTTTATGAACTTTGTTTTAAAGGAAACTCTTTGCTGTGAACAGTATTTTGTTGGCAGTGTGTCTTGACTTTCAAGGTCACTTCAAAATAATTTCAGATAACAGCAGCGTGTTCAAGTTATGTTGGAAGAATGAGTAAACATTTTTTAAACGTCAATACAAATGTCAGGTATGACTCATCAAATAACTAGTTTACTTAGTTTCGTCCATGTCCCATCGGCTAACATGAAGTAGGCAGGATGTATGACATATACTGCAGCCAGCCACCAGAGAGCATTCAAGATAATTGGGCTGTGCTTATGGACAGCTGTAATGTCGTTCTTCTTTCACAGTCACAACATCTAAAATTATGTTTTTGGGATTTTACCCACTCCGATGTTTCCCCTCCCCCAAGGTGAACACGCCCTCCTGCTCAGCGCAAGAGCTCTCAATGGCTGCGGCCAGACTTGACGCTCATCTCTACTGGTCCATCTCCAGCAGGCTGGATGAGGAGCCCACTCTGGCCAACGAGGAGGCCAAGCAGCCGGACAGCGGCTCGGCCAACGGCAAAGGAGGGGAGCCCACCTTCATTGTCGGGGAGATGACTGACATTCAGGAGCAATCAGGACTGGGCGAGCTAAATGGCAGCGTCGCCACTGACCAATCAGAATCAGAAGCCTAGAACAGAGAATGTTTACAAAGACCTTCAGTATATCACCACCACACCACAGTTAGTGTTTGCAGATCTTTTATTTCAAGGCAAAATGAGTAGTTTAGACTCAGTTCTGCAGTATACGCCATATCTTATGTTACCACAATTTTATTTCTTGATACTTTTGTCTTTTATTTCTATGTTGATCTTTGTTACAATTGTATTGTATGTGTGCTCTTCTCAATATGTTGTGTTAGCTAAAATCACCCTTGCCTATATCTACATTTAAATGACAATACTATGCTTCAGGTGGGGTCAACAATAGTATATCCAGAGGAGCAGAATGTTTTTAACAGACAGACGTCATTTGTCTTGTTGGACCAAAAGGTTCACATGTGCAGAATTAAATGTACGGATTGTTTAAATATAATATTTAAAATAGGTACACATTATTTTCACCTAAGCACAAATATCACTAGATAGTATTGAGATATAAAGTAAAATTGTAGAGACCTCAGCTTTGTTTAGATGCAAACGTTGTTCATAGTTTTATTCCATAGATTGTATATAAAGATGGACGATGTGTCACAGAAATTAAGCCAAAAATATCTTGTATACAAGTGCCGCCATTGTGCGCTATTTACGTCATTTGGAGCCAGAGTTGTCAGCCGATACATGAGGTCGACAAGTTGTGAGTCAGTCTCAGCTGTCAATCATCATCACCCAGTTTTTATAGCCTAAAATCCAAAATATAAAATAATATTTCTGATACAGCAAACATGCACTCGACCAACTGAGATTCCCTCAGCTGTCAATCATGGTGTTCCACTGTGTTTTATTAGCATAATTAACTAACTGTGAAAACTAAAATGACGTATAAGTTTGGTCCATGTCCCATCCACTAACATGGAAGAGGCTGGGTTTATGACCTATACTGCAGCCAGCCACCAGGGGGCAATCAAGAACACTTGGCTTCACTTTTGCTGAGCTGTCATGTTGTCCATGTTTATATACAGTGTATGATTTATTCTACATTAATCCGACGTTAACAGGGTGGGGAACGAACACTAGCCAAAACTGTCAACTCTGCGAGAATCTTAATTGAGCCACAAACCATTTAAAACGTTGAATAGAAACATTTGGAAAGAGAATCCAGTGAATTGCGGCCTGTGGACAACAAAGCCGGTTCCCTGCCCGGAGTATAAACACGTGTGATCATCAGGAGACACAGAGTATTATGTTTGTTAATAACACTAATATAGATTTGCTGACACTCCTCACTGCACTCAGCACATTATGGTGAGTAGGATCTAAAACCTTTAACATAGAGACAGGTTGTAACATTCGAGTGTGTCTGTGGCTTTGTTTCACGTAAGATGTGTGTAGCACAAGGATTATCTATCTTTTGTCCCCAGCCAAGTAGAAATTAAAAGCACAACAGTGTCCTGCTCAAACGCCTGCTTCTGCTGCTGTGTATATATACATGTGGCCATTTTTACTTGATGTTTTTAATATTAAATATAATACATTGATTAGAATTAATAAACTATAATATATTCCAGAGCAACTGTCTCAGATTCTGTGGTGTTCTGAGGGAGGGCTACATGAAGAAAACCATGTTTATACATGTTATATGTACAGTGGGGTACTCACCGCTACAATTTATAAGAAAAACTTGTGGAAATGAAAGTACTCATCTCGAATCTGTTCCAAATATCACCAAACCCGTCTCTGTTGTTCAGTGTCTCATACCTCTCATACCTCTGACGCCATGTGATGGGTATGATATAAAAGTTTTATAGCCTGTAGTTGAGCAGATAGGGAACCCTGGGGTTTTCCTTTTTAAGGGACAACCGACACCAATTAAATATTCAGATCATGTACCCAAGTATAAATACTCTTGAAACAGAACTACAGAGGTACTGACAACAGACTGTGTGAACATTATAGTCCCACAATGGGGAACTTTGCCGTGTTACAGCAGCAAAAACATCAGTTAAAAAGTCATAAATAAGTAAACATGTAAAAATAAGGAATGCAATGTAAATAAAAGTAAGAAATGTATATAAGTACTAATGAAGAATGGCCATGTCAGTTTTATGTAATTACACGATTGGATTATAGCTGTACTTACATATAAGTCAAATTTTAATGTTGTTGTTGGAATACCTTTAACTATTGTATATAGCATCCAGCTTTTATGTAGCTTTATAATGATCATATCATTTACATACAAAATCTAAAAATGAAAAGTAACTTTATATCAAGTAAGAAGTTGATTTTTTCCTGAAAGGTTTTAGTATAAAGTATCATCTAGAACTATCTCATTATTGACTGTTCTGGAGCAAATGTTCTTACTGACTGTGCACCAGTGGCAATGTGTGAACTCCATCAATCTCTTTCTCTCTTTTACCTGTTATAATTTGCCCGGGCACTATCTTAATTGGCTTTACTGCATTTGAAAACACACACTTTCCCTTTACATGTACTATAATCAATCACTAACTATACATGTAAGCTCACTGTTTGACTTATAGCCCATATAAAACTTTTTATCTACACTAGGTCTGATGTAAAGCCTCACAGCACCATGCGTCTCATTATAAATTCATGGCCGGATCTCGGCACCAGCAGAAGTCAGCATATTGGGTTACTAGGCAGAATCTTGGCTTTCGAAAAAACTAAACGTCTTTCTCTGTTTTGGCTGCTAGATGGCGATAAAGATCCCACACTCCCTCCAGCCAGTCACACGGCCCTATTGGTGTGTAATGAGATGGGGTCCCCGGCTCATCTGTCTCCTAGGCAACCAGGACTGGGGACAGGGAGAGGGCAGAGTGTGTGTTGATGTGTGTGCATGCATGTGTGTTAATGTGTGTTTGAACTGGACTTTCACGACTGATGGGGGAGTTTATGAGGATTGTCAGAGAGAGACATTTGAGGTTGATATTTGTGTGAGAGCAGATGACGCTGGTGATGCACAGCGGTGCAGCTGGAGAAGGACGAATGCCCTTGACACTGAAACACAAGTCGCACAGGATACTGACATTTTCGTTTTGTTTTTACCCGTCACAATAAAACTGCCCCAAATATCACAGAGATCTACTATATAATAAATTATGTTATTAGGCCAGAAGAATAGAAGTGTATTTCTAGAGTTAACTAGAGCAGACTCACGATGTATGAGATGTCACGTTTTGTTTGGGAGTTTCCGGCGATTTTTCAGTTTGCCACAGAGTTGAACCCCATGTGCCATTTCCAAGTTCTAATTATGATTTTAATGAGAGGCTGTTTTTGCATGATCCCTGCTGAGTCGAAATCAATGCTTCTCTTGATGGAAGGAAGTCATGACAGTTTAGTTTCAGTCTAGGAGGCAGGTGGCAAAAGGAGAGAATGATTGAACCCTAATGGAAGAAATAAAGAAGAAAGTGCACCATATACAGCAAAAAGCAAAACTGATGGCACTGGCAGTTTAGAAAAATATTGGATCAATAGTGATCGTTGTAGTGATGCTAGAGGCAATGTTACTTCACTTGAGTAGATCAAGTGTTAAACTAATCGAGAGCCTTTACGATAATGTGCTCTATGGTTGTTGGTGCAAAACATTGTTAGTTACAGTTGCATTTATCAACATTATTATTATTATAAGAAAAGGATAAAATTAATATCAGTCCTCTAAACTGTCTAATTTATCATTTATTCTCTGAGAAATCTACCAAAATGTTGAAAAATGTCCTCTGTTGTTAATGTTAAAGAAAGTGAAAAATAAAAAAGTCCACCCATCAAGTTTTATGGTAATATGTCCAGTACTAACCGCCAAACAAACAACTGCAGACACACAATATTTATCTATGTTCAGTGCGTCTCAAAGACTCCTGTGGTTGTGGAATACTGTTTAGCATTCTGTTAAGAATATGAGCAGAACAGCCTGATATGGAAACAAAGAAAATGGCGAGAAAGCTTACGGTCAACCACAGACATTGATTTTTCTTAAACAATACAGCAGATCTGTGCATGTCTCTGACTGGCAAATATCCCCTGATGCAGTGAAACCCACATCTGGAACTGCCAGGTTAAAATTAACTTTGAGAAATGTTTTATAGAATTTATAGAAACTACTTAATGCAACGGTGATGCCTGTTGTCCCACAGCAGTGCTTGACAGATTAGTTTCCCTCCTGCTCCATGTTCATGACCCTTTCCCCAATGCTCCAGCTCAAAATCCACTGACCTTCATCCAGCCTCAAACAAGGTAACGTCAGATCTTTCCTCCTGTTGTACTGCTGATGTGAAAAACATGCAGCAACACCTCTTGTACGTGTAATGGGTTCAATCTAAAGTGAGATAGTCACCTCTGGGTAACAGCTGCTCCGAGAATAAGCACAATTGATGCACAACATTCAGTCAATGTATAGATGGTTCATCGTGAAGTCCTTGGTTGACAAAATCTTAAAACCTTATTTTTATGAATAGGTGTAAGCAGGACAGTATTTAATCAACGTTTCCATTTGGTACTAGGAGAAGTCTCACATCCACTGCTGTCGTCCTGTCACAAGCTCCTTAGTCGATCTTTAAAAGCAGTAAATTAGAAGCTGAGGCCTCTAATTTAAAAGTGAAAGTCAGCCTGCCATGTGAAGTAGAGCAGAGCTGATAAAGGTGTTACACCACCCACTGTAACACGCAGCAGGCTTTGAGAAGGGCTACAGAAATGGCCAAGTAATTTTCCATCTGCCAAATGGCATGATCCTTTATCACGCTGCCACAGCGGGCAGATATAAACCACAGGTGATTACTAAGTAAATCTCAAGACCACATCCTGTCTGAGGTGATCGAGATCAAGTCCTGACTGGAGGTGAGCAAGTTATAGTTCTACTCTAGAGCAAGTTTTAAAGACACAGATCTTGGCAAAACAATCTCACTTTAAACTTAATTTAGTTCAGCAGTTTTCAATCTTTCAATTCTCACACTGCTTAGAAAACTAGACAGAACAGTTAAAAAGCTCATTCATGCTCAATGCTAGATATCGGACGAATCTCTTTTCATGTGTAAAAGCAGCATAAATGAGCCTTAAGATGTCATAGAGTTCTTTATAACAGCAAAAAGTACAAGAAGTTACATGCCACCAGAAATTTGCCTCTCAAGTCACGTGCACAATCCCTACAGCAGCTCTGTTTTCATCCAATCACAACCCAACCCGCCTGGAGTCAATCGCCTGTTAGTCGTCAAAGTTTAAAAGGTCTCAGGTAAAACATACCTGTAGTGACTCAGTCTGGCCTCCACCTCCCTTTGTGCAGCTTTTCTCTAAAGTCAGCATGTGCTCAAGTACTGAGACTTATGAGCTTTCACCAAATAGCATGAGTTACCATGTTGAGATGGTTATGGTGACGTCTCGACAGGATGACAGGCAGCAGGAGAAGAGCTGATACAGGTAGAAACACTTTTCTTCCATATCCAAACCTTATATAAATGTATTGTCCTTTAAAAATAAAATGGGCATTGCACAGTATGAGTTTAAGGGAAAACAGACAGTAGGAATCTAATGAAAGGTGAGAACCTGCCGCTGAAACAGAACTAATAACTGTAAAAGCACCGTGGCTCTGCTCAGGAAAGAAATTGGTGTTTTCAGGGTGTGAACCTGTGATCTTCTACTTGAGGAACTGAAAGAGTCTTAGCGTCTATGAGGAAAACCACAAATCCATGAAAACAGCTGACGCGTGAAGACATCTCAGCACTTTGTGTGTTACAGGCTCTCAGACTGCAAAGGTATTTAAAATACCTTCACTTAAATCAAGTTTAGAACATTTTAAAATATATAAGTGCTACTGAGTGAGTAACACTGTCCACATCAGATCTTGATTTTGGAAGAATTCCTTGACTCTAAAAATGTAGATTGAGCATTACTTCTTGACAATTCTTGGAATTACCTCAGCTCAAGATCCATCATTACACAATTTTCTGAGCTTCCACTCTCAACTCATGTTCATCATCATCAATTTGTTTTGCTAAAAATAGCCTGAAAAAGCTTGTAAATGAACCTCATGTATCACACAAGCACGTTCTATTTGCAGAAATGACAAAAAGGCGGTTACGAACCAATATCCCCAGCTCATGAAATAAAACACAATCATTACTTATCGCATGACAGGAGGACAGACAACTCCACTGTCAGAGTGAGGTCAATATCAGCTGCAGTTTATAGTTGGGGATCATCAAACTACGGAGAAGACACCGTATAGTGAGCTGAACATAATGTACACTGCTGAGTTTGATGCATGTTAATGATGTGCAGTGTCTTCGGCGTGGTCAGCAGATTTGTCTCGAGTATTGGTTTGCTCATTTAGCTTCGCACTGAAGACGTGGACTTGGACAAATCAGGTGCAGTTGGCTGCAGTCGGGTTATAGCTTCAGGCCATGTGTCAACCAGGTGCATCATTTATCATCAGTGTGACAAGGTGTCCTAGAATAAGGCCTATGATTAGGTGGTATGATAGAGCAAGGGTTAGCACTCTCGCCTCACAGCAAGATGGTTGTTAGTTTGAATCACAATTCAGTCAGGGCTT